TCACAGCAGGGCCTTTGGTGAAGCAGTCAATGTTACAGTGCATCTGTCTCATTGATGGAGTGGAGCTGATACTGATAGACAGCCTGTCCAGACCTCTGGGGGCCCGGCCGAGGGCAGGGGAACAGGAGGGGCCCCTGGGGGAGATAGAGCTAGGCCATGGGAATGGGTCACTTATGCACCGAGTCATGCTCACTGGGGATGGAGGTTGGAGGTTCAAGTACTGAGGGCATGATGTGCAGCAAAGAATGCCTTTGCAAACCCTCTGGGGCCTCAGCAAGGACACTGAGTTTCGCAGTGCAGTGCTAGGCTATTCTGTGGGACTATGTGGACATGTTGCCCAGGTAACCAAGTGTATGCCTTGCGGATGCCTGTCCGCAGCCCACATGCCCGTCCCCTGGCTGCAGACGCCCTGCCCCTTCTACTGAGGCCACCCTGGATGCTGCCTGTGAGGCCGTGTGGGGTTTCCAGGGTCCTGGTGGTCCTTACATGCAGGCAACTCATTGCATACAGGGACTAGGATATGTGAGGTGTGTTGAAGGAGCACCACAGGAGTCTGTCCCATCAGCCATGACAGGGACTGCAGGAGGTTCTTACACTGAGCATGTGCAAAACTGACCAGAAAATCAGATGGAGGAAAAAGACCCCCTATTCTCCTATCCTCTTCTGCTACCAGCTTGGGGATGGGAGCAGGGGAAGGCAGACAGGCGGGCCATTGAGGTTAGATTGGAGGCCGGGGAGGTGCTGGACTTGAAGAGGCCTGCTAGTCTAGCCCGGGGAAAGGAGGGATTGGTTGGGAGGTCGGCCCACCAGTTGCACACAAAAGTTTGGAAGTTAATTTGTCATTCTGAGAAAGCACTGGCGAACAAAGAAATGCAATGTCTTGGTCATCGCTCGCCGCTCGGGACCTGCACTCAGACGGTGCACTGGCCTCTTCTCTCCAAGGGCCATGTTGCCTATCGACTTCAGGAGGGAGTGTCTGTTTCTCTCACTGTCCTGGTGAAGCATTCACTGGTGCATCTGCGTGCTCATGTGGCCCTAGAAGCTGCATGGCCTATGGCTGTGTGAGCCCCACACCAGCCTCCAGGAGGGAACCTGAAGCCAGACAGCACCTGGGAACAAGCTAAGCTACCAGGATGACTGCTTAGCAGCTGCCTGTGGGCTCCAAAGAGACTTTGTTCACTGCCTTTAGTTTTGGTCTCCCCAGGGATGGCTGGGCTTTATCTGGGTAGTGTGGAAGAGATGAGTTATGAGATGGGGAGGCGCCCATTCTCTCCGACACTGCAGCATCCAAATAAAACCTCTTCCCTTTTGCATCAACACCTGCCTCATGAGTTTTGTTTTAGTGGCAGCAGACAGATGAATTCTCCTCCCCCCCGGCCCCATAATGGAACCAACTATGCTGTCCTTGTGAACATTGCTTTAAAACACTCAATTGAACTGTAAAGTCCTAGTAAATTTCAAAGTCATACCACTTTCCTATGGCTATTTGACATGCCTTGATTTAACAAAAACTTGAAACTTTTTTTTTCTGTTAAAGGAACTATGACAGACAAAATGTACTGGGTAAGTAAGGAGATTTAACCGGGCTATCACAATAGAAACAACGTTCAGTAATGAGGAACATTTCCAAGTACAGCAGGGGTGTCAAACTCATTTTCCCGGGGGGCCACATCAGCCTCACAATTGCCTTCAAAGGGCTAAATGTAATTTTAAGACTGTGTAAATGTAACTACTCCTTAACAGTTGAGTGAGAGCTGGGCACTGCTTCTGGGTAGAAACAAGGTGCCAGGCTGGACAAAACAAGGGGGAGGTCTGGACTCGGTCCACAGGCCTGTGTTTGCCACCTGTGAAGTAAAGGGGCAGCCCCACATTCACGTGTGGTGGGTAAAAATCAGGGAGACACCTTGGGAGTGAGCCAGCCCAGCCGGAGGCCAGACTGCACAGTACTGGGCTCCAGCCCAGGGCTCCAGTCCTGGGAAAAAGAAAGCCTCATAACTTCTAGCTATAAACTTAGTGGGGGTTGGTGCAGTGGAAGATACTGTTGGAAAGCCCAGAACATAAGCAACCCCACTCACCCTGAGAAACACAACTGGGGCAGCAGCTGAAGGGGTGCCATTTGCACAACAAGAGAAGTGGGTGAAATGATTGGAAAGAGGGTAAGGGCCAGGCAAGCCCCCAGAAGTTGGGCAGCATCGTCCCCTCTTGACCCCTCTCCCACACATGTAGCCATGGTTGCCCTGCCCTGGCGAATATCCCAGGCTCCACCCCATATGACTCAACGGTTCCACTGAAACAGAATCAAAGTGGCTCTACCTAGTATGCAGAACAGGGAGGCTGCCAAAATCAAGAGACAGAGCGATATGGCCCAAATGAAGGAACAGAAGAGAACCTCAGATAAAGAACTAAGCGATGCTGAGACAGCCAATGTATCAGATGTGGAGTTCAAAACACTGGTGGTCAGAATGCTCAGAGATCTCATTGAATACAGCAAAAAGCATGTATTCATGGGAAGAAACGAAGGCTTTATTAAGGGAAATAAAGAACAATCCACAGGAAACTGACAGTGAAGGGAAAGAAGCTGGGATTCAATCAATGATTTGGAACAAAAGGAAGAAATAAACATTCAACCAGAACAAAATGAAGAACTAAGAATTCACAAAAATGAAGAGAGTTTTAGAAGACTCTAGGACATGTCTAAAACGGTCAATATCAGAATCATAGGGGTGCCAGAAAGAGAAGATGAGAGCCAAAAATTGAAAACTTATTTGAAAACATAATGAAAGAAAACATCCCTAATTTGGCAAAGGAAATAGACACACAAGTCCAGGAAGCACAGAGAGTCCCAAACAAGTTGAACCCAAAGAGATCCACACCAAGACACATCATAGTTAAAATGTCAAAAATTAAATATAAGGAGAGAATATTAAAAGAAGCAAGAGAAAGTCAGAGTGTTACCTACAAAGGAGTTCCCATAAGATTATCAGCTAATTTCTCAACAGAAACCTTACAGGCAAAAAGGGGCTGGAAAGAAGTACCATATTCAAAGTTGCGAAAGGTAAGGACCTACACTATCCAGCAAAGCTATCATTTAGAATTGAAGGATAGATAAAGTGCTTCCCAGACAAGGTAAAGCTGAAGAAGTTTATCATCACCAAGCTGTTATTATATGAAATGTTAAAGGAACTTATTTAGGAAAAAGAAGATCAAAACTATGAACATTAAAATGACAACAAACTCACAACTAACAACAACTGAATCTAAAAAACAAAAACAAACTAAGCAAACAACTAGAAGAGGAATAGAACCATAGATATGGAGATCATTTGGAGGGTTATCAGCTGGGAGGGAAGAGGGAGAATGGGGGAAAAGGTGGGATTTAGAAGCATCATTGGGTAGGTACGGAATAGACAGGGGGAGGTTAAGAACAGTATAGGAAATGGAGAAGCCTAAGAACTTATATGCACAACCCATAGATGTGAACTAAGGCGGGGGGAATTGCTGGAGGCAAGGGGGGAACCAGGTGGAGGGGGACAAAGGGGAAAAATTGGGACAACTGCAATAGTATAGTCAATAAAATATACTAAAAAAACTATGAACAACAAAATGGCAATAAATATGTACCTGTCAACAACTGATTCTAAAAAACAAAGTTAGCAAACAAGAACAGGGACAGAATGATGGATACAGAGAGCATTTTGATGGTTGCCAGATGGGATGGGGGTGCAGGGGAATGGGTGAGGAGGTGAGGGGATTAAGAAGTACAAATAGGTAGTTACAGAATAGCCATGGGGATGTAAAGTACAGTATAGGAAATGGAGCAGCCAAAGAACTTATAGACATAACCCATGGACATGAACAATGGTGGGGTGATTGCCTGAGGGAGTGGGTGTGCTGGGTGGAGCCAGGCAGAGGGGGGAAATTGGGATAACTATAACAGCATAATCAATAAAATACAATAAAAATAATTTTGCATCAAGGGGATGCCTATAAAAATGTATGACTTTTCCTTGTAGAGCTGACTTCAATTAGTACTCTTGTTCTGTTAGACATCCTAAGACTTTTTTCCCTATATGCTGGAAAATGGTGTGTGTGTGTGTGTGTGTGTGTGTGTGTTGACATGGTGTGTGTTTAAACCAGGATTAATTCTCTCTCCAGGAGCACCGTGATATAAATTACAGTTGACTTAGTATAAAAAAGCAGAGCGTACATAGAGTGCCCAGAAGAAAGCCGTGGGAGAACCTGGATCACCAGCTCCCTAAACTTGGGCAACTTGCTTCCTCTCTTCGGGACTCAGTTTCCCCATTCATTAAGGGAACAGTATTGACCTAGATCACATCTCCAAATCTGGAGCCTCATCCGGTCCCCAACTCTCCACACCTCCGGCCCCCAAAGCGCAACTGATTTATTTCCTTTAACAACAAAGACACAAAACTCCGGGCGGGCAACACCCACCCCGCCGGCCGGTGGGCGGGGAGCCAGAGCACCGCGCGCCGACGGGAGCGTGTGCACGCCGCCCCGCCCCCAGCCCGCGCCGCACGTGCTCATGGCCGCGCGCAACGGCTCGCCCGGTGAGTGGAGCGATCCGGGCCTGGTGCTTTGCGCCGCCGCTGGCGGTGCCTTGCGCGGCCTTCGGTCGTGGGAGCTGCGGGCGCGGGCGTAGGGGGGTGCGGGGAACCTCGCGGCCTTTCCCTGGTGCTCGGGCCGGGAGCTTCGGTGCGTCCGGGCCTGGGGCGGCGGGCGCCGGGCGCCGGTGTTTGCGGGGCTGGGGACGCCCGCCGACGTGCTGTAGGACTCTGGGGCCGCGACAGCGTGGACGTGGCCAGCCTGAGGCCCCCAGGGTCCAAGAGTCGGCTCGCAATGGCCTGGGCACCGGAAGTAGTCCACGTGCTCGCCCGCGGGCTGGAGACCGGGGACGAGCGCACGGAAAGTTTGGAGGCTGAGCCGGCCACGCGGCCGGGCTGCGTGCGGGCGCGGTCGCCACGTGGGCTTAGCTTCCGGGGTTCACGTGCGGCCTGCGCGCCGGGCTTCACGTGGAGCGAATCTGGGGTCGTGCCGAGGGCAGCGACGTGTCTGTCCCACCCTGAATTGAAATGTACAGCCTACTCTTCCTGATCATTTATTTGTCACCTGATTTTTTTGGACCGGCTGCCCGACAGTCGGGTTGACCAACAGGTTAGTCAGACCAGGCTGTTGACTGTGTTTTTAGAAGTATAGTCCTGGGAGTCATGCAGTCGAATTACTATTCCACTAATTAGCTATAAATTCCGCGCCGGTCCTTTGGTATCGGCCGGCCGTGCGTATGTTTAAGTGCAGGAGCCTGGTTTACTCAGCTTCCACCATCCCTTTCCTTTGCTTCTCTGGCCTCATCCTTTGTAACGAACGTCGGGTCACTAAAGTACATTAATGAGGTGCATTCCATTTTTTTACCCTCTAAAATTGAGCTGAAAAAGTAACTGCTAATCACAGCTTTAGGTCAACAGGAGAACCAGTTTCCCCTCTTTGAATTGATCGACATTTCTGAGGGCCTAACAACCTTGTTACAGGCAATACATCATTTCTGTCAGGTAGAGGTGTGTATGTGTTTAACTGAACTGAATTTGACTGACATTCTCACTGTTAGTGGATCTAAAATTTATGTAGAGAACATAACTATATTAATGCGGGTTCCTGGGGCCCAGCTACCAGAAGTGCTAATGCAGTAGGCTTGATGTAGGGCCCAGAAATGTGCACGTTACCCAGCGTTCCTGGTGACTCCACTGCGCCGCCGTGGAATACTGTCCCGGTGTAGATGCAGACACACCTCCCTCCCCTGATGGGTGATAACCACTGGTGGCTAAGGTGCCTTTCCGCTCCGACGATGCAGCTGAACACCAAAGGGCCAGCTGCTCTCTGAAGAGTGGTCCCTGCTGACCAAACCATGTTTCCCTCAGCTTTGTTTTCTGTAAGGCTTTTGAGATTTTTCTCTAAGATTATATACAAAGGAAGAAAAAGCGGGCGGGGGGGGGGGGCGGTTAATTCTGCAAACATCTCCTGAAGACCTCCTATGTGGGCCTCTCTCTGCTCGTGTTCTGGGAGTGTGTAGATAACCTCTCCTTTCTTTCCCTTACGAAGTTGTGTTTAGGGCTTCTTGTCAGTGTGTGTTTCCATAGGCAGGGTCAGGACACTGTAGAATGGGTATCAATATTGATTTTCTTGTAGAATTTTAGTCCTTCAGAGTTGTTCAGATTCGTTAATTATTATTTTAAAAAACCTGTAGACACTTAGTAAAATATGAACCTTGAATCTTTTGATTTAATCATTTTACATTTTAATGATTATAGTCAACTCAAATTGGACTTTTTTTTTTTTACTTTTTTAAATTGAAATAGAATTGACATAGAACATTATATTAGTTTCAGGGCAAAACATAATAATCTGGTATTCATATAAATTGCTTTTTAAAAGCTTGCTTTTTCCCCCTTGTAGCTCTATAAAAATATTTACTGTTACTTCTGTTTGGATGGCCTGTGAGATTTATAGGCAGGCTTGTTTTGGTTGTACTTTTCTGGACAAAGCATTCTCTTGGTTATTATATTTCTTAGATTCTAAGACATACTTTTTTTTACTGTTTCTGATGTTGTGATGCATCTTGCAATTTTTTAATGTTCTGCGGGGTATAGAATGTCATTTCTTCTTCCCTCCACTTCTCAAAGGCTGTTAAAAAGAATTGTTATTTTACACAATGGGTGTGAGAATCAGAGAAACAGTACATTTTCCCAGTAACCTGTAAGTTAGGTTCCTATGAACTGAACCTCAAGTCATTGCAATGTGAACATAGAGAAATAGTAAGTGATGTAACTTTTGGCAGTGTAAGTAGTGAAATGTATATTCTAACAAAAGCATTTGCTATGCAGTGTTAGGGTTTGTTTGTTAGTGATCATAGATGGAAAAATGCTGTAAGTGATTTTATTTTTGGCTTAAGTATTCCACGTTCTTTGTTTAACTACACTTTCTGGGAAATGTGCTTATGCTGTGTTCATATATTGTGCCTAAAGAAAAACCTTTCACTTGCTTCTTCCTGCTACTCACATCCCTTAAATTTTAAACTGACCGATTGTGAGGGATAAGAGATGTGTGGCCGAATATTAAATTACTTTGTCATCCTTGTGATGTACTTTCAGTGGCACAAACCTTCTGAAACAATCTTTTTACAAATCACATGTGAGCAAAGTATTGGGGCTCCCCAAGACCATTCCTGGGTGTGGTGACTTGCTAAGACTCCCAGCTGATTGATTACAGCAAATGAAGACCAAGTGCTTAATTGTTCCAGCAACTAGTGATAGCTGCACAGTTGCCAAACAGGGAAGCTCGGTGCCCAGGATTTTTTTTTTAGCTGAAGGCTGGTCACCTAAGTGCCCTTTGCTTGAAACTGCCAAGATCCCAGACTCCCAAAAGGAACACAGATGGTCAGGATAAGCCCCATTGTTTGCCCAAACAGTTGAGGCACTGAGTCACTCTTACCATTTAAATGGAGGTGGGGACTCCTGGAATTAGAATTCCCTGGTGTCAGCCATAAGCTTGGCCTTTCATAGAACAACACTGCCCTTTGCTAATCCATTTTCATACCTGAGTTCCAAGTACTAGCAATACTTTGTCTCACTGAAGTCTTGATTCTTTGGTTGAGAAATCAAAATGGCCTGGAAAACTTAGAAATAGTGTTACCGAACAAGAGGTCCGAGGGAGGGGCAATACAATATTTGGCCTACCTAGGGATGCCCAAAACTGCTATACAACAGGGGCCCCTCCCAAAAACAAAATACTAATATCTACTGGGCTCTTCTCTGTCCGCCGCCAATTGGAAAGACATCTCTCAATGCCAGAGATTTGTGAAAAGGAAACAAAACGTTTATTTAATGCTATTTAGGCCTAATGCCTCCACTAAAATATCAAAGTCCTTTAGGGTATACACCTACACCCACACAGCGCTCCCTTCTCCCACTGTCCCAACTCCGGGTACCGTAAATCAGGAGAAGAGCACACGTCTGTGTTGCAGGCCGCTGGCACCGTCAGCTGGGTCACTGTGCAGGATCTCGAGTTAATCCAAAGTACTGTGGTACCCTCTCATGGTCCACTGGCAAGAGTCCTTTGTACCCAGTTCCAATCAGAGTCTCTCTTTTCAGGCCACGCGGCCAAACGGGGCACCCCAAAGCCGCGTGGGCCTCTTCTACCAAAGCTGCAGGAGTCCGCACTCCACCAAAAGCATGTGGCTTTCTTCTTCACCTGGCTGCAGGGATCTCCATTCTGGCAAAGCTGCGTGGTTTTTCCCTTTCACCTGGGAAAGAGGGGGTCCGCACCCTGCCAAAACCACATGGCTCCCTCTTTCACCTCACCAACAGGGGGTCCTCACTTTGCTGAAACCGCGTGGCTCTCTCTCCATCTGGCCAAGCGGGGACCCTTCATGTCTCGGAGCCAGTCTTTTCCAAGCTCCCACACAGGCACTCCTCACTCAGGAGTGCAGCCCTTAGTTACATCTTCCTGAGTCCAAGCCCTCTCACTCCGGAGAGCAGCCCCTAGTTCCCATCTTGAGTCCCTGCTCACTCCCTTCTCCCTGGCTCCAAACTTGGCCACTGCTATTTAACATATCTATGAAACCAGTTAAAGGTTATAGATATGTTAAATAATCATTCCAGAGGTTAGCTACGAAACTGTTGCTATGCAAAATAGCTCTCAATGGCCTGGCTCCATTCGTTTCTTCCCCCTGGGGGCGGGGGGGGGGCGGTGAGGACATCTTACATGTCTTTCCAATATTCCTATACACTTTGAATTATGGACACTATTCCAAATCTTTTTTGGGGGACCCCCCCTGGCTGCACCCCGTATCAATTGGAGACATTTTAAGCAAACTTTTGATGATGTAACATAAAATACTGAAGTTAATTGTTTTCTAAGCTTACACTCTTACCCCTCCTGCGCAAGCATTTAGTATCTGTTTTTGTTAGTGTTCCACCAGTGTCCTCTTTCCCCACCAGAAACACTTGGTCTGATCTGTCAGTGGGTGCAAACTCTAGAAGCTAAAAAGAGGTCACTAGAGAGTTGTGCATTTTGACATTTCCACTTCCCAATTTGTTCAGTTTACATTTTGATTGCTTTTTAAAGGTTTATTTACAAGTTAGTTGTTGCAGTATTTAATTGTTCCAGGGTTTATTCCCAGGCCAGACTACTTAATCTATATTGTAGGTCAAATGTGTAATGGCCATTAGTAGTGGAAACATACAGACAGCCGTTAGGCATCTGCAGTTCCTGAGACTGGGTAATGAGTAAACATCCGGGAACAGTTGGGTTCAAAATTCTAGCCAAATAAGGTAACTAACCAGGGCCCGTCAGAAGAGGCCCGCCAGCAGCCGCACCCACCAATGAGGGACCTTCGCCGTTTTCAACTTAGCAACCTAGCTAATAGCTAACCGCCACATCTGCTTCTGTAAGCCCGCGCTTGCTTGCTTTGCCCTATAAAAGCCCCGTAGTCTGTAAGCCAGGCGCGACTTCCATCTGGTAGCTCTGGGTAGCTACGTGGCTTCGGTCACTATCTGGGAAGTTTGCCCCTGCGCAGGTAAAGCTTGGCCAAAGATTTTTTTATTTGATCCCTTGGCAAAAATTAAATTCCTTTAAACTAATTTTTGGCTCCGAGAGTGTGTATACACCCGCCGGTTGTCTACAACAAAATACAGCTTTGTTGTAATGACAAAGGTGCAGAAAACAGTGTTGTTGCAATTCTGACAGCCCAACCAACTAGGAACCCATAATATCTATAAATAAGTTACTGGTTTCTGGGAAAAATTGGTTTTTATAAGTGCAGGTTTTTTTTAAAGCTTTTTTGGGGACAGAGAATCTGATGAAAGCAATGGACCCCCTGCCCTCTGCCAGCCCCTCGTGTTCTAGTCCTTAAATAGAAATTGGCAATTTCAGGAAATTCATATAATTTGAATTACCATTCTGGAGCCCCAGATGGAGGACACCTGCATGGTGAGTGTGCCTGTAGCTGTGGCTGAGGGCGGTTCTGACAGGGCTGGCCGTGCCTGCGAGGCAGCGCCGCTCTGCCTCTTCCTCCGGTATGCGCGGTCTGCGGACCAGCAGCAGCTCACTGCCCGGCGCTGCGGTTAGACACGCAGAGTCTCAGTCCCGCCGCAGATCCAGGTGCCTGGAAAGGTGTGTGCACGTTCAGGATGGAGGAGTGCTGTGGAAGACGTTAATGATGTCGGGATTTAATGTTGGAAGTTATAGCTTTTTACAGATGTGGCATGTAACTACGGTTAGCCTTCACGTCTCAGTTTCTACTTAGTTTTTTTCTTATTTTAAGTGGGGGAGAGATTCTGATAAAGTGACGCTTTTCAGGGATAAGCTAGTATTTGGAAGTGAGGAGGTTCACCTGGTTGAGGAAGACTTGGGAGCTGGCAACTTCTTGCTGCGGCCACCAGATGCCACCACTGGCCAGGACGTGTTAGCTGCCTGAGCGGCAGATGGGGGTGGGGCGTTGCTGTGGTGGAGCCCTGGTCCGGGGCAGCTGTGAGTGGCTTTGAGTGAAGTGTTTGTAACTCAAGAGTACATCTCGTTAGACTTGGGACCTGGTGGTGATTGAAGCCAACTGAAAGATTTTTAATCTTGCTGTGTCAATGGCCACAGGCCAAAACTGTGACTAGGAAATGCTGAGAAAGTGGAATCATTTAAATTGGGATAATTATACTTCTTAGTAAACAAAGAATGAATCCCACAACTTAGTGGACAAGGAAAACATGCTTTCCCTTAGATGAATGTGTAATCTGGTGTTTGAGGCTGAATCATGCTTTGGAAGAAATGGTGTTGGTGGGAGGTTGTATCACATCCTGGAAGACCAGGCTCACAAAGAGTCTCCTGAGGGCGTCATGGTCACGCAGCTGTATGTGCACGATCTGCTAACGCGAACACGTGTCCTTTGTTCTTTCCGTAGGTTTGCGTTTCCTCACAGCGTGGTCTTGAAGACAGAACGATGCCAACGATGCCAAAGAAAGCAAAGTCTATGGGGCCTGAGAAGGAAGAGGGGCCAGTTCCCTGTAAACAGCGGAAGGTGGAGGCAGCTGGTGGGCCCTCCTCTTTAAACTTTGACAGCCCTAGTGATTTGTTTGAAAGTTTAATTTCGCCCATCAAGACAGAGACTTTTTTCAAGGAGTTCTGGGAGCAGAAACCCCTTCTCATTCAGAGAGATGACCCTGCGCTGGCCACATACTACCAGTCCCTTTTCAAGTTGTCAGATCTGAAGAGCCTGTGCAGCCGGGGCGTGTACTATGGGAGAGACATAAATGTCTGCCGGTGTGTCAGTGGGAAGAAGAAGGTTTTAAATGAAGATGGCAGAGTGCACTTTCTTCAGCTGAGAAAAGATTTTGATCAGAAAAGGGCAACAATTCAGTTTCACCAACCTCAGAGATTTAAGGTAACAGGTGTTCCCCATTGCAGAATCCTCGTGTGTATTACAGTGTTAACGTTTGACCGCAGATCAGCTCAGCTCAGGGATGAACCTGTGGTTTGACGATGATTCACTTCCCACCAGCTTGAGAAGAGGTAGCACTTGTTCCGTCTTCAAATGCATCCCAAATTAGGAGACTTTATGTTATCTTTTGGCTGAATTGTTAGAAAATATCCAACATTCAGGATGGACATTGCTGGATGTCATAGAGCTGCAAAAACTAAATTATATTGCTAGTTTGTAATGCTTCTTAAAGTACTATTGGTCCTCCAGCATCATGTTCTGTACGCTAGTTTACATTTCGGTTTGTGGTAGACATTTCTGTTGGGTTTGCCCTGCCATAATTTAAGTCATGATAGAATGAAGGTGGTCATTTTCTTGAAGTTACCTCCTTTTACTGCCCACATCTGCCTGGGTGGAGCCTTCAGAGCCACGACCAGACACAATCCAGGTGTGTGTTGGAGACAGATTTCCCCCTGAGCAGCAGTCCCCTCTTGTGGCAGTGAGCAGCTGAGCCCTGCAAGGCTGCTCTTGGGGCGGCAGTCATACTTGCAAGAGAGCTTTGATTTGCAAGTCTGGGAGACTGGTTCGCTTTTTATTTTTCTACATCAGTGATTGGCATTTGAGAGGTAATTTGCCACCTCTGTTCTGTTGTGGCATTTATAAAATGCAGACTCAGGATAAGCTGATACACCTTTGTAGAGGTTTGAGGTCTGTTCGTCACAGGTGGCCCGGAACAAGCAGTGGCCTGTTCTGAGTTTTAGTTTTCTTCCCATTCAGAAGTCCGCTTCTGTGACCCACGGCGAATCAAAGTGACAGCATGGGAGGAGAAGGAAGAGCAGTTCAGAAGGTTCCGTGTGGAGGAGCATAGTTCTAGCTGTGTGGGTGGCTCCTGGGACTTTGTCATCCTTACCAATAATGTTTCCCACGACTGAACCCGAGAGACAGCTTGTTAGATCCCATTATGTCCATCTGGTGCATACTCAAATCTGGTGAATGATTTTCTTTCTTGTTTAAAGGATCCTGAACCTATGTGTACTCTAGATAAAGTTTAAGTGCTTTTAGATTTTTCAGTACAAATTCTGATTCCCGATATTACACCTCAAAACCATGCAAAGTTAAATGTCCCTGAAATGCCAAGCTTTTGGCTCAGGCGCCCAAAAGGAATGTAGAAATCACTTGCCAAACCAAGTAATGACTTGAATTCAGTGTTGCTTCTCTCTGAGCCAGTCCTTGGCTCTTTACCTGGGTAGAAGCAGAACTTATAAAATTTTATTATATTTTTGAAGTAGCACTTTAAAAAAAGGATTTTATTTGTTTTTAGGGACAGGGGAAGGGAGGGGGGAAGAGAGGGAGAGAAACATTGGTGTGTGAGAAGCATTGGTTGCCTCTTGTACATCCCAGCAGTGGACCTGTCCTGCAACCCAGGGCCCTGGCTGGAATCGAACCGGCGACCTTTCTGTTCTCAGGACAGTGCTCACCCCACTGAGTCACACCAGTCAGGGCTGAAGCAGCACTTTTAAAAGAGTGGGTTTTACAGACCTAAAAACTAAGGACCTAAAAGATCAGTGAAGTTGATTGCATGTAATTTGATTACAGTGTAGTAGAAAGTTATTTGTCACGTGCGGTGTCCTCTGCGGCTGCCTTTTCTCTGTGTTAGAATCATCCTGGGCTTTTCTCTGCTTATTTACTTAAGCCTTGCACATTCCTCCTTCCCAGTTCCAGGTGGCCAAGAGTGTTTTCGTTTTTATTTTTGCCCTGTGGACTCAGTTCTTTGGCTGTGTTTATTAAAACAGGAAGGATGAGCTTCCGAAGTCTAAATTCGGCCTCCAGGTTAGACTAGAACACACACCCTGGTTTTTCAGTCTTTGCCAGTAGTTGAGAGACCTCTAAGCTGTGGGAGCTCATCATCTTAACACTAGAAGCTGGTTGTAAGTATTATTTTATGAGGAAGTTGAATGTTGTATGTGTTCATTTAAGAACAGTCATATTAATATCAGGATAGAAAGTCTAGAGGGCAGGTCATCCCCTTCTTTATTGGATCTTAGAAGGTGCACAGCATATTCTAGTTAGTCTGGAAATGAGTCAACCAGAAAGCTGTAAGCAGGTGGGGAACACCAGCTTTGTGTAATCCATATTGCAAACATCTGGGTGAGTTTGCCAAGTACTCACATGTGTGTTAAGTTTTTTTAAAGATTTTATTTATTTTTAGAAAGGGAAGGGAGGCAGAAAGAGGAAAAAAAATACCAATGTCTGGTTGCCTCTCATGCACCCCCTGCTGGGGACCTGGCCCACAACTCAGGCATGTGCCCTAGACTGGGAATCAAACCGGTAACCCTTTAGTTTGCAGGTTGGCACTCAATCCACTGAGCCACACCAGCCTGGACTGCATGTTGAACCTTCTGACAGACATTTGAAATAGAGAAGTCATTGTGGTGTCCATTTTACATGTGAAAATCTGAAGTTCACAGGTGTGACTTTTCATAGCTACTGAGTAAGGACTTCTGACTCCAGATTTAGGCCATTTTCCTGCTACACCTTGAAAGATGGTAATTGTAGGGCTTTTGTCATGTTTGTTTTTGCCTTTCTTTAGGTGTATGCTTGGGCTTCTGGTCTCAGCCAGGCATTCAGGTTTGATTGTGTGGGTGAGTCAGTGGAGAGACGAGGTTGTACCCACCTGGGCGAGGCTTCCACCTTTCCGTCATTGTTCTGGGGTTCTCCTTGGCATCTCCAGACATAATTGGGAAGACAGATTTCAGGAGCCTTGGTTGTGGCCAAGTCAGTGCTGGTGAAGCAGTAATACTTACTCATATATACTGCTTTGCAATTCTAATATGATTGGAGAAAAGTTATTTATTTCATGCTATTCCCCACAGTCTTAGGGTGGGAGTCTTCATTTTACAAAGAAAGAAGCTGAAGTCACCTAGCTTGTAACTATAACTTGGACTGAAATTGATTCACTTAAAATCTCTGTATAGTAGGCCACACTTAACAGATTCAGAAGCTAGAGGCCCAGGAGAGAAGGGAAATTTGTATAATTGATAGAGTTTGGGGGAACTTTTAAGATGAAAAGAGACAAACTTATCATTTACAGACCCAGATGCTTGAGTTGGGTGCCATAAAGTTACCCGTATAGTCCCAAGACGCCTCCCAGGCCGTCAGAGAAGGGAGACGCCCTGGCTTTCCAGTGGTTGCAGTCACCGTAAGTGTAGTTACAGAGCAGGGTCCAGCTGGCCCCTCCACGGCGTGAACTGGACTCCTTGGGAGCTCGGACTCTGGAGCTGTTCAGATGCTATTAAGTTATCCTTCCTGTGTTAAGTAGAACCCTGGAGTGCCGAGACCTATAGCTAGAGTAGCTCAGTGGCGTGTATAAAGACGCCTCCCGAAGCTTTCTTCATACTGACCCAGTTCTTTCTCACTGGATATTTTTAACACTGTAGATCCCTTTTCACTTCAGAGGTGGGACTGATTCCCAAGCTGTGGTCATTGGCTTACTCAGCAGATATTTTGTATGTTGTAGTGTTTTCTACGTGCTGCTTACTGTACATTCATAAGCTTGAAACGAGGTTCCTTGGTGTCCTTTGACTTGTCTGTGTGACAGTTCCTCAGAGCGGCATTAGAGACCTGTGGGTAAAGGCATAGACTCTGGAGCTAGGCATTCTGGATTTGAATCCTGGCTCCGTTATTTACTAGCTTGTGTTCTCACCTTGGTTTCCTCATCTGTAAACTGGAGAGAATGACATTACACACCTCACGAGGCAGGGTTGTTGGGAACGTGAAGTAATTAACATTGTAAGTTAATAGAAACAGTGCCTGACACATAGGCAGTGCTGATAATATTTATGTGGCCTAATTTCTACCTCCCCTTCACGGCTGCCTCGGGAAAATCGGGTTTCTTTCTCTCTTGCAGGAATATACGGCTCCTCTCTAGGCCCCTCAACCTGACTTACACCCTCTGGGGTGGGTTAGTGACTGGACAGGGAATGTACTCCGAGGCCCCTTTCCGCCTCCCCTGTCTGTGCCCACTTTCTAGGTTCATGTCTTCACCCATTGCTGTAAATGTTAACTTTGTGCAGGGAATTCCCAAATGTGAGTCTTTAGTCCTTGCTTTTTGCCAGAACTTCAGCCAGCCAGTCAGCAGCTTACTTAAAAACATCTCCATGGGGGGGGGGGGTCATAGCAGCTGAAACTCAACGTTTCTAATGCAGAACTCTGCCCCCCCCCACCCCCCTTGAAAACTTGTTCTTTATCAAGTCTTTCCCCTTTCAGTGGTTGGAACTAGGAGCTAACTAATTGTCCAAGTCAGAGACCCAGGAGTATTTTTTAACTCTTCTGTTCCCTTACCCCTTCGTACTTTGTCTGTCAGCGGTCTTACCAATGCTACTTAAAGAGAACTTTGACTTTTCTACTCCCCCCACCCCGTCCCACCACCTTGGTCATTTCTTGCCAGGGCTGCTGCCTTAGTAGTTTCCCGACTGACTTCTCTTGCTTTTCAACTGTGCATCCCCCAGTGATAGTCAGAGTACACTTTCAGAAATGGAAATGGAATCACGTCAGTTCCCTGGTTAGCATCCCGTGTGGCTGCAGCCTGCCTGCCTCGCCGGGCTTGTATGCGGGCCTCCGTCACTCCCAGGTGTGTGCCACCAGAACAGGAGATTCTCCAGGGCCGAGGTGTTGGCTTTTCTACTGCTTATTAATTTTGGTATCTAGAACTTAACAGCTGCAGTGAAGGTTTGGTAAACAAATAAGAACGTGTTCCACCTCTTGTTGCTAATGTATTTTTCACCTCTTTTTTTCCTCCTCCCCTCTCTTCTTTTCTCCTCTTATCTCTCCCCTGCCCCTGTTCTCCCCCCTCCCCTCTCCTCTTTTTTTTTCTTTAAAGGATGACCTTTGGAGGATCCAGGAGAAGCTTGAATGCTACTTTGGCTCCTTGGTTGGCTCGAATGTGTACATAACCCCTGCTGGATCTCAGGGCCTGCCACCCCACTATGATGATGTTGAGGTGAGAGGAAGGAAGACGCCCGACGTGGGGAAGAAGGGGTTGCTGTGAGCGGGTTGGGATGGTCGTCAGGGTTCAGTTTGCTCTTGGGTCAGGTCTCCGTCCTCTCTTCCTGTGCGGTCTCTGGAGCCCTTGACCTCACTACATGTTGGGCCAAGTTTACTCTCACCAAACTGGTTTCCTGTTCCTTATCCAAGGGGAGAGAGCATTTCCAACCTGGTTCATGTAAAGAGCTACACATTCTTACGAAGCAGGTATTTATTGATTTTATCTACAGAAAAGTGTGATTGACTTTTCCTTTAACTTCACTATGTATGGTCTTTAATAAGGTGAGGTCACAAGCAGTCTTTACATCTGCTTTCATTTTGTCCTTTTTCTGTAGCTGCCAAGTTTTTTTTTTTTTCCCCGTTTGTGAAAATCCTGGGGCAGCCTGAATGAAGGTCATGGTTTCACTTAAGCACTGGCTCCTTGACAAGTGTTGAGTTTACTCCTGTGGCCGCCCACAGACAGTTAAGTCTTTGGCCTAGGACCTTAGTAGGTTTATTTTTATACCAATACATGGTGTGAACACAGAGTAATTAGTAAAATGTCTTTTTTCCCCCTTTGAGAGCATTTTGATATCAATACGTTTTTTAAAAATATTTGGTTCTTTAAAAATATATTTTAACAGAGTATTAAAATATCTTTGGCTGAATGAAGAATAGAAAACTCGAAGCTTTTCTACCTGCCAAAGATTATATTCAGGATTTCAGGCATCCAGTCATACCCGAGGCTTGGCTGTCCCGTCAGAGATTACAGGCTTCCCGCTGACAGAAGGTTTAAAGGAGTGAGGTAGTGGGTATCTAGTGGGATGTGAGAACTCGGCGAGGTTTCAGGAAAGTGAGCAGAATGATTATCCTTCCAATATCAGGGTTCATGATGACCTGTTTTTAAAACTTAACACCAGTAGTGGCAGCTTTGAAGAGTGGAGTGAAACGTATCTCTGACCTTTCATTTTTATTTCTTAACTGAAACTGGTAATTCATCGCAGCCCTCAGAGGGCTGATACTCTGGAGGCACTTTGCCTCGTGCGCTGTCCGGGAGCTCTGACACTCTGTGGCTCTCCGTAGGTGTTCATCCTGCAGCTGGAAGGGGAGAAACACTGGCGCCTTTACCGCCCCACCGTGCCCCTGGCTCGCGACTACAGCGTGGAGGCTGAGGAAAGGATCGGGCAGCCGACCCACGAGTTCACGTTGAAGGTATGGGACGTCCACCGGGGGCGCCTCTCCTGAGACAGCTTTAGGTTTGAGGTTTGCTGTGCATGTCACGGTCCCCATGGGGGTGCATCCTTGGGTTTCCGGGCAGAACAGCTCATTCCAGTCAGCCAGCACATGCAGCTGTCAAAGATTTGGTAACTTGTACATGTCAGCCAAGGAAGTACTAAGTTTATATCCCAAGTAATTTGTCTCCAAATATAAGCCATGTTCAACAGGAGTGAATTATGAATCCGGTGTCCTCCGACTTCTCTCCAGTAAAAGTGGAAGGTTTGGTCTTGGGCAGCCGCGCTGTGTGTAAGACGGAGGTCAGCACTGGGCTGCAGGTTGCTGAGGCAGAGCACAGCCAGGGGCCCCTCACTGTTTTGCTGGTTAAACTCCAGAATGACCCATTTTCCTCTTGATCTTGGAGCCGACTGTCTGTGTACTCTCCTCCCTTCCCCCTGCATACAGTTCCCCGAAGAATAGTAATTATGAAGCCCTTGGGGAGTCCTCCTCAAAGACAGGTGGCTTGATTGTGTCCTGCGTTCGTTGGCATCTTGCTGCTGAGACGGCCTGTCTTTGAGCAGTTAGCCTGGATGGGATACTGGCCACCAATCCCCAGGATGTGAGGTTGTTGAGAAAAATTCATAGAGGGATAAGAATAGCTCCATAATTAAACTTTATACCTTTTCTTTTTAAAAAAATTATATTTTATTGTTTATGCTATTACAGTTGGCCCAAATTGTCCCCCTCCATTCAGCCCCTGCTCTACTCCCTCAGGCAAGGCCCACACCACTGTCCAGTCTATGGGTCATGCGTGTGTCCTTTAACTACTCTATTCCCTGTGCTGTGCTCTACTTCCCCGTGACTGTTCTGTAATTACTGGTTTGTGCTTCTTCATCTCTGCCTTTCTCACCCATCCCTACTGACCCTCCTCACATCTGACAACCATCAAAATGTTCTCTATGATTCTGTTTTGTTGTTTGTTTATTTTTAAGTATATTTTATTGATTATGCTATTATAATTGTCCCATTCCCCCCTTTATTCCCCTCTGCCCTGCACACCCCCTCCCACCCACACCCCCCCTTAGTTCAAGTCCATGAGTCCTACATATAAGTTCTTTGGCTTCTACATTTCCCATACTATTCTTAACCTCCCCCTGTCTATTTTCTTTTTACCATTTATGCTACTTATTCTCTGTACCTTTTCCCCTTCTCTCCCCCTGCTACTCACCCGCTGATAACCCTCCATGTGATCTCAATTTCTGTGATTCTCTTCCTGTTCTAGTTGTTTGCTTAGTTTGTTTTTGTTTTTGGTGTGGTTATTAATAACTGTGAGTTTGTTGTCATTTTACTCTTCATATTTTTTATTTTCTTTTTCTTAGGTAAGTCCCTTTAACATTTCATATAATACGGGCTTGGTAATGATGAACTCTTTTAATTTGACCTTATCTGGGAAGCACTTTATCTGCCCTTCCATTCTAAATGATAGCTTTGCTGGATAGAGTCATCTTGGTTGTAGGTCCTTGTCTCTCCTACTTTGAATACTTTTTTCCAGCCCCTTCTTGCCTGTAAGGTTTTTTTTGAGAAATCAGCCAACAGTCTTTTGGGCACTCCTCCTCCATCGTACAGGTTTGCTGCTGATGAACTTCTTCAGTTTTTTCTTGTCTGGGAAACTCTTTATCTGTCCTTCAATTCTAAATGATAGCTTTGGTTGGCAATCTTGGCTGTAGGTCCTTGCTTTTCAACACTTTGAATATTTCTTGCAAATTCCTTCTAGCCTGCAAAGTTTATTTTGAGAAATCAGCTGATGATCTTATGGGGACTCCTTTGTAGGTAACTAACTTCTTTTCTCTTGCTGCTTTAAAGGTTCTTTCTTTGTATTTAACCTTTGGCATTTTGGTTATGACGTGTCTTGGTGTGTGCTTTCTTGGGTTCATCTTCTTTGGGACTCTCTGAGCTTCCTGGACTTATATGTCCATTTCCTTCACCAAGTTAGAAGAGTTTTCTTTCACTATGTTTTCAAAAAGGTTTTTAATTTCTTCTTCTTTCTCTTCTTCTGGCATCCTATGATGCAAATATTGGTATGCTTGAGGTTGTCCCAGAGGCTCCTTACACTTTCTTCATTTTTTGGATTTTTTTCTTTAAAATTTAATCTTTATTGTATTTTTTCCATTACCATTTAGTCCCTTTATACTTCCCTCCTCCTAGCAATCCCCACACTGTTGTTCATGTCCATGACTCCTTTTTCCTGTTTGCTTAATCCCTCTACCTCCTAAGCTCCCCCTGAATTTTTTTTTTTCTTTTGTCTGTTCTGATGGTTTTTTGTTTCCTTATGTTCCAAATTGCTGATTTGGTTCTTGGCTTCATCCATTCTACTGTTGATTCCCTGTAAATTGTTCTTTATTTCCGTTAGTGTATCCCTCACTTCTTACTAGATCTTTTTTTTGATGTTGAGGTCCTTACTAATTTTATTGAGCATCCTTATAACCAGTGTTTTGAACTCTGCATTTGATAAATTGCTGTTCTTCATTTTGTTTAGTTATTTTCCTTTGGAGTTTTGTTCTGTTCTTTCATTTGGCCATGTTTCTTTGTCTCCTCATTTTGTTAGCCTCTGCGTGTTTGTGTATTAGGTAGAGCTACTACATCTCCCAGGCCTGATAGAGTCGCTTTATGTAGTGGTGTCCTTCAGAGTCCAGTGGTGCAGCCTCCCCTATTACCCAAGCTGGGTACTTAGTGTGCTCACCCTGTGGGCTGTACACACCTTCCTATTATAGTTGAGCCTTGATTGCTTTTGGCATGTCCAAGGTCAACCACTGTCTGTGTTCTGTCCAGGGTCACACAGTGTTAGCTACCAAGTGATCTGCAAGAAAGCTGCCTCTTGCTCTGGGCTTGGAGGTGCCCAGGTGAGGCTAAGCTGTGAATGGAGAGGCTGCTGTTAGTGTTGGGCCTGGGGCAACTTAGCAAGAGGTATGGGGTTTGCTAAAGCCTGATATTGCTTGTTTGAGAGACATTAGGAAAATCTGAAACTTGGGCCAAGATAAGCCATTCATATGGAAAGCCCACTGGAAATAGCTTGGATTGGCCTGAAAGTTGGGTGGGGGGGGACCTCAGGGAAGCAGCGGGGTAGGGCAAACAGTGTGAACTAGGTTGATGGAGTCTCAGATATGGCACCCACCTGCTGGCTCTGTGCAGGTGGTGAGGGGACTCAGAAAAGGAACAGTGGCCTCTGCCAACACTTTTATCTGGGAGAAAGCTGCTCCCCAGCTCTTACCTGGTAAGGGACAATTCACTTCCTCTCCATATGTTTCTGATGACTTTCACTGTGTTGGCCCTGGCACTGGAGCTCATAGGGGGTGAGTCTGAGTAAGTCTGTGTGTGGGCACTTTAAGAGGAACTGCCTAGGATTCAGAAGTTTCTTTTTCTACAGCCTCAATCCCCACTGGTTTTTATAGCCAGAAGTTATGGAGACTTTCTTCCTGGCATTGGAACCCTTGGCTGGTGAACTAAATGTGGCGTGGGGCTGAGACCCCTTGCTCCTGAGATGTCCCTCCTGATTTTTATCTGCCACTCATGGGTGTGGGACAAGCCCATTCTGCATCTCCACCCCTCCTACCAGTCTTGATGTGGTTTTTTCTTTAATTCTGTAGTTGTAGGACTTCCATTTATCTCAGTTTCTGACAGTTTTCGATGATGGTTGTTCTATAGTTTAATTGTAATTTTGATGTGGTTGTACAAGGAGGTGAACCATGTTTACCTACACCGCTGTTTTGACTGGAAGTCAGCCTAAATTTTATATCTTTTCCTACGAAACGTAAACTTAATTTCTTTTAGTGTCAATAAGATAATAGTTAATTCAAACCATTCCAAAGATCCTACCTTCCTGATATATTGTTTTTGTACTTCTGGAATCTTGAAGTTATAATTAGTGTCTGATTCTTACTCAGTGCCTTGTGGCCCTTTCTTGATTTTAAATCTTTGCCCGCCTAGCAATAACTGGGGGGGACAATCTCCCTTTTTAGGATGGGTGCCTATATTGTAGAGACTGAAATCAACCCAACAATAAAGATATATTCCACGTTTTATGCTCTTGGTCAGCAGCCAGCAGACTATGGCCCATGGATCAAAATATGGCCTGATGCCTATTTTCATAAAGTTTGTTGGAACACAGCCACACCCAGTCCTTATGTCCAGGACTGCATTCACATTACACTGCCGCGTAGGTCAGTTGCTATAGAGACCATGTGGCCCACAAACCACAAATATTTACTATCTGACCCTTTACAGAAAGAGTTTGGCAACCCCAGTCTTGGAGAAGCCTGTTTATCTAGGCTCTTTGTTGATTATGTTTAGGCCAATGACTGAGCCATCGATGGTGTCTGAGGCCAGGGCTGTTACCCAGGCGGATAACTGGCTCCTCGCCCTGCTGGAGGAGGCGGGGGCTTCCTGGTGGTCTTCCAGGGTAGGGGGTGCAAGACTTGGAGGAGATGGAGCGCTGAGTACAAATCGCACACCCATCCAGATCGCGGTTCAGTGGGAGAAGCCCCGAATTTCCTGGGAGAAAGACAGTATCAGGGACTGCAGGGCTGTTCCGGTTGTGTGTCTGCAAACTTGAGAGTTTTCAACCAGTGAGTCTTTTCAGTGAAGTCTTGTGGAAACGCCCAGTATAGGAACTAGAAAAGCTGAGTCACTGATGCGGGTGGGCCTGGGCCACGTAGAGCCCTTCTCAGCCGCTCTCTCTGCTCCAGTGGCAGCCTGTGTGGTCTGTCTGCCACGCTCAGGGCCTGCGGCGAGTGTCACCCCTGCCCTGGGAACACTGCTCTGTGGCTTGGGAATCTGACAAGTAGGAGTGTGAATTCATCTGCTGTCACTTAGGAGCTGCGTGTCCTTGGGAAAGTTATTCATTTAAATATAAGTTTCTTTATTAAAATGGAGATTGTAGTATTTACACTACAGGTTGTAAGGATTGAAAATATTACTTTGATGCCTCTCTTACAGTAAAA